TCTCCACTATTTCAAATATCTTGTTAGCATAGACAACAAACAGCAAAGGCCCTAGGCACGAACCTTGAGGTACGCTGCATTCCAAATCGAACTTCGTTGAGAGTGTGCCATCGATTGAAATTTGCTGAGTTGTGCCACTTAAGTATGATGCAAACCAGGACAGTGCTGTATCACGAACTCCAAATGTGGACCTAAGCCTCTCAAGTAAGATACCATGATCAATGGTATAAAAGCCGTGCTCGAATCCAACAGAAAAAGCAAGGTGACATGCTGGCTGTTCATGTTTAAAAAAAATTTCATTGTTTACTTTCAAGAGAAGGGTTTTCGTGCTGTGAAACTTACGATATGATGATTGTAGCATGGCAAATAAATTATTCATGTTGATGTGATGCTGAAGTTGTTTGGCTACCGCACTCTCAGTCAGTTTGGAGATTAATTGTAAGTTACTGACAGGTCATATTGTTATTATTATCATTATTATTTCTATTATTGTTATTATATTTAGGTGGAAGAATCGCCAACGATGCAAAACAGGGAGACTATGTACGTTTGCTCATGGTAAGGAAGAATTGGAATCATGGAAAGCTCTGCGCTCAAACGAACAACAGGCCTCAAGCATAAGAAGCCGGGAAGATTTGCCATTCCAATCTGCCGACATTTCTTGGAACAATGTACGTGTTCTGATGCGCTTATTGTACCGTTCTCAATTCTCCTTTGCAAGGCAGCCAGAAATTGCGGACACTTCAGTAGGGACGCATCGTGTGTTTCATGTTACGACGACAAATAGATTCTGTAGCTAGATGTGTAAAACGCAAAGTATGCACTTGTTTATAGGAAACGCTGATCACAAACTGTCGAAAAAACATAACAAAACTGAAAAGCTGAAAATGTCGAATAATTTCTCTCGTTTTGAACGATTTGCTGTTGAGACTGGTCACAGATTGAAAAAAAAAAGTGGTAATGGGGAGCTTGTTTTTGGACAATTTTTTTATTGCACATAAGAAAATCGCATTCACTTTGAATTAATACCCGAGAGAAAATTTAGTTGTTCTCAAAAGACTTGTGTCCTGAGGAAGGATCTCGACAGTTTTAGGTTGATTGATGAGAGCTGAATAATAACGACCAAACATGATCAAGTCGCAAAAATAGGGTCAAAATGAAATAACTCATCTTGTGAGATTTCTGAGCAAGAAACTTTGTGTGGATTTATTTTTTTTCGAGTGAAATTGATCTCGTAAAATGTAATACTTGTAGGTTAGCCCGCGTTGCTCGCGGTTTTATTTTCGCAAGCGCTCATTTTTGCCCCTCGGTTGCTTTGCGCGCCTGCCAAAACAAATCCGTTTAAAGCTACGGAGGCTACATAGAAGTGACTTCAGAAAGCTGCTTTTTCGTTTTTTAATTGTTTTCTTCTCCTACATTCCTTATAAATGTTTTGCCGCCATTTTGTTACAAACGAAGAAACACCACGAGCTCAAATGTACGCAATTTCTGGCAATAAAAGCTTTAAACTTAACTTTGTAGGTAGACTTTGTGTACTTCAGAAAATGACTGTTTTTGTGATAGTGATGGGAGTTTGGTTCCCTCTTTTTTAAGAACCATTTTCGAAGGCCGCCTTAACGACTTTTAGAAGTGACCAGACTAAAAAGCAGATGAAAAGCTTCACCATCGCTGTGAAAAGTTAGTTACATGAACACCGTAATGTTTTTTTTTATTGTTTTCTTGGTTCCCTAGGTGGTTCACAGTCTCTCTGGTGTCGAAGTCACAAGTGATAAACCTTCTTCGGTGAAAATCTGCCATTGTGATGATTTAAAACGCAACGTCTATGACTGGGTATTCAGCGTCACATTTGAGGTAAAAATAACAAATGGTCAAGCGAATGGAGAAATCGATAATAAATGTTCGTTTTAAGTTTTAAATATCATTGTGAATGAAAGTATTGTACTCATATTAAAGAGAGCTACTTCACTCGGAAGTGCCGTAAGGGCCCTCCTAATAAATTACAAACATTGCAACTATTATATAGATATTTAGTATTTACCACATCAGTCGATAGCGCGCAATTTTTCGCGCGTTTTGATTTNTGGTTCACAGTCTCTCTGGTGTCGAAGTCACAAGTGATAAACCTTCTTCGGTGAAAATCTGCCATTGTGATGATTTAAAACGCAACGTCTATGACTGGGTATTCAGCGTCACATTTGAGGTAAAAATAACAAATGGTCAAGCGAATGGAGAAATCGATAATAAATGTTCGTTTTAAGTTTTAAATATCATTGTGAATGAAAGTATTGTACTCATATTAAAGAGAGCTACTTCACTCGGAAGTGCCGTAAGGGCCCTCCTAATAAATTACAAACATTGCAACTATTATATAGATATTTAGTATTTACCACATCAGTCGATAGCGCGCAATTTTTCGCGCGTTTTGATTTGCTCTCCTCGTTCACTGTTTTGGGACGGAAGTCAAAATGTGATCGCCTTTTATTTTACAAAAATGATTTAAAAAATACAGAAGCAAGCATGGAAAGGACTTCGGTAACGCACGCTCAATACGATTCCCTGTTAAAGCGTTCCAGTTCTTGTCAGAATTCATCGTATACTTCAGTATCAATCTCTTTAGTGAACTCTAGGGAGCTTGGGGTTTCAGGTTAAAATACATTGAACATTCGTCGCTTTGAATCCGTCTCGATATCAAGTGGTATAACCGTGTTGAATTTTAATAAATTCACTGACGGCTCTTTTAAGATCTCTTCGATCTGCAATATTTCTCGCCGAACAAAAGTCATCCATTGTCTTGGTACATTATTCCCAATAATTCATTTTCCCCAACCTTCGGGGGATAGTTCTTCTAGCAGAAAAAAAAACTTATATACATATATTTCCAAATGTAAATATGTTACGTTTAGAAACATAGCAAAGATTTAAATTTACTTCAACGCGCGCGCTGTTCAGTTTGATTAGAAATGTCATGAATTACCGTAATTTGGAATTATTTATGGTTTTTAAGCCTTTCCAGCGGGCAAATTGCGACAGCTATACGCACATGTTGCAAATAAGTCCACCCGACGACTGGTTGAAGATAGGATGAGCTCGGGACTCACAAACACGCACACGGCTCGTGGATTCTCTGTTCTGTATCACGTGTTCGCTCCAAAACAATGCATTCTCTGTTCTGCATTACGTCATAAAAGTTACCTTACACTCCTTACACTACCTTATGTCACATCGCTTCGAGATTCATTCTGCCTTGGAACTTTCGAACACGGCTTTATTAGGAGAGGCTGCTCGTTGGCAATAAGTCTACGAAACTATAACTAAGATAATATAATTAAAGTAACTTCCTTCTTAATAATAAATTACAAAATAAAGCTGAGCAATTAATCAGATTTGTACTTTGTCTAAACAGTTAAATACTAGTTTCTTGTTTGAAAAAGCCTTACATACATTAACCTCTGAGTTATAATGAGTTTAAACAGCATGATGATCTTTATTGAAAACATGAAAATTGCTCGATGTTCAGAACGTCTTGTTGATTGCAACTTCCTCCTAAGTTTCTTATGTCCCTCAGGGGTCTATGCACAATGGTAATCTAGATTATACGTCCTACTTAACCTGAGGATGCAGTCTCATCTCCTCGCCCTTGTACTGCCTTGTCATGAAGACCTTCTAGTTGTGCCATCAATTAGTTTCATTACTATAATCTCCCCAAAATAATGTCAGAATAATTTGACAAATGTAGGTTAACTGAGAGTGAGGTCGTTGCGGGAAANACTCCTTACACTACCTTATGTCACATCGCTTCGAGATTCATTCTGCCTTGGAACTTTCGAGCACGGCTTTATTAGGAGAGGCTGCTCGTTGGCAATAAGTCTACGAAACTATAACTAAGATAATATAATTAAAGTAACTTCCTTCTTAATAATAAATTACAATATAAAGCTGAGCAATTAATCAGATTTGTACTTTGTCTAAACAGTTAAAGACTAATTTCTTGTTTGAAAAAGCCTTACATACATTAACCTCTGAGTTATAATGAGTTTAAACACGGCATGATGATCTTTATTGAAAACATGAAAATTGCTCGATGTTCAGAACGTCTTGTTGATTGCAACTTCCTCTTAAGTTTCTTATGTCCCTCAGGGGTCTATGCACAATGGTAATCTAGATTATACGTCCTACTTAACCTGAGGATGCAGTCTCATCTCCTCGCCCTTGTACTGCCTTGTCATGAAGACCTTCTAGTTGTGCCATCAATTAGTTTCATTACTATAATCTCCCCAAAATAATGTCAGAATAATTTGACAAATGTAGGTTAACTGAGAGTGAGGTCGTTGCGGGAAAGTCTCAAACTGGGGCCTTGCCGTACCGTTCGGTCAATACGACAAGACCGACGTTTTAGATTTCGCGTAGCGACCGAACGTTCGAGGTTAAGAAGTTGTTTGTTGTATGGCTAAAAACAGTGTTTTTCAAGCGAAGTCATCACTTTACATCCGGTAATGGGGGAGAGCGCGTGACCGTTCATTCATCGCCAAGCCGAGGGGTCGAACTGCACTCGTGTGATATGATTCAGTGAAGAAAGGCGAATTCTGTGAAGAAAACATAGCTGATATATTTTCGGGACAAATGATTACAATACAGCTATAAAGAAAAGTTTTTTATAGTTGTGTTACAACTTGGCAAGGAAGAATTCATTGACATTCTCAAGGATCAACATCCAAACTTCAATCAAAGTGCTTCAAACGGCGTCTTGGTAAGCTTAAATGAAAATACATGCAGCGGATGTACCGCGTTTAAAATATTCATTTCAATCCTCTTCACCGCTTTCGATGACCTGAATTCTTGAGTGAATTTGGTTGCTTTATTTCCACTGGTCGGTGATCCCGGAAAAGCTTGTAAAATTTTATGGAACACCTTTCAGTTCCTGTCGCCTAAATCGTCGGCTGGAATGCTCGCTTGTGGCTATTTTATTGCCCCTTTCGCGTCTTCGTCCCACGTTCATTAATCCAAACAAGCATTTCGCGGCCATCTTGAGGAGGATCTTGTTGTAGTTTCACGTCTCCCCAAAGCAACTTGCGGCTTTCATCTCTGGCTCTTAAGCCGAAATGAAGGGACAAAAACCACCACCTGGTTCTCTGGAGGGCTTCAGGACAGGAAGTACTAAACTGGCCACCTTTAAGAGCAGATGTCAGTAAATATCAACCAGAGGTCTACAAAAGTGAAAATCGAAAATTCTCAAAAAAAAATTCACAAAGTAGCACTAGGTAAGCTGTTAACATAAGTATAATTTTTACCTCGATCCGATAATTTTTTTAGACGGACGGGGGGAGGGGGTTTATTGGTTTTGCGGCTCTCGGACCGGGTTTTGCAGGCCCGAGACGGCGTGTCACGAAAAAATCGTTTAAAAAATCAAACCAATTGTAATGCGAAGAACAAATAGCTTATTCAGAAAAGTACATGATTATGTACATTTTATGGGGTGATTTACTCAGTTTGAACGAAAATGTAATATTTTGGAGATTTTCATTATTTTCAATATTCTGAACGTTTTCGTTCGATGCAAAAATGGCAAATTTCAAAGCCCAAAATCGTCGACTGGTACCTCGATTTCACTAAAGAGTCTTATGCCACGTTAAAGAGCGTTATCTTTTTTTCAAAATCTGTTTTCAAAACTATGGGCAACTGAAAGGAAAGTTTTTGAGGCCCAAAAATACAAGTTGTACTTTTCTGAAATTTGAGCTTTCCTCGCTCAGCGGACCGAATTTTAAAAACTCGGAAAAAATACTATAAGAAATCAGTTTGACCAACAGTGGTTTAATGTTATCAGCTTTCATAAACCAAGACGTGTTTATCCAGCAATCTGATATAATTTAAAACCGTTTGCTAGCAGGAAAGGCAGATTTAAACTGTCAATTCCTGCCAAGTGGCAAATCACTAATTGAAAAAGTCTTAAAATTCAATACTTTTTACGTCCAGGAAATCAGATTTTAGTGTACAAAACCATGTTGTGAGTGTTTGTCGTTCTTAGCTTAGCATGGTGTTCCCATATATTGGAAATGTGAAGTATCCACACAGGAGAACAGATAAACAACAGCGTTTTAAACAAGAGCGTTTTAAATCCAGGCGCTTGGAAGTGGTGGGCGAAAGAAAGAACGGGGAGCGAGAGCGACACCCTTATCTCCTCGCGCGCACGTTCTTTATTGCGCCCTACTTCGAAGCGCCTGCTACACAGCTATATGTCTCGTTGTTTTCAACCTCCATCATAGGGAACCCACGCTCTTATTTGTAAACTGCAGATGGAAATCACTTAAATGAAAGATAAAAACTTACCTGTTCTGTTCTTGCACAAAAATAAAAAGCGCGGAGATTTAGTGAACGTTTGGGCAATGGGTGGGGTTAGGGCTCGTTACTGCGCTCCGGTACACTCGCTAACTAAGTTCCCTATTTAGTTCAAACTGTGTGCCTCCTTTTAGCTGTTGTTTTCGGTTCGTACTGAAATTTTCGGCCTTGAAGAAATTCACAACCACAGGAGCTGGTTATAGGCTTCTGACAACGAGCAATCCGGTAGGCAATATAATGTTTGTGTGATAATTGAAAACTGCTGGCGAAAATGAAGAAAATAAAAGCTCCTAGGTACTTTAAGGTATCCAGGGAAGGCTTATTTTTTATTTACAGAAACTATTAGTTTTCGGCCTCTTTAACAAGGAAAGACACACTACCAACTCCCCCGTATCGCCAGTGCTGATAACCAATTTTGAGAAACGTCGCCTGAAATGAACCTTTAAAACTTTTTATAAAACGGTGTAAAAACAAACAAACAAACAAACAAAAAATACTCTGAGATCACACACAAAAACAGATTGACAACGCTTCTTTAATAGAACGCTAACTGTCCCATTTATAAGAGCGCCTCTTAAGTTAGCGGGGGAGTAGTGTCCCATACGCACATACGCCCGTGCGTACAGCTGATCTTTGGAAAATATATATTTTTTATTTCCTGAAAGCATTTTTATCATAAATTCAGTTAAATGTCTCGTGAAGAACATTTCAGAACTTGATCATAAAGTATCAGTGCCCCGCAGTGTTTTTTAATTCCAAGATCCAGGAAACCCTTACTAAAGTATGAAAAATACACTCAAAGGCATTGTTCTGTTTGGTAAAATTCATTCCTGGACGCAAAAACGTTGTGTTTTTTAAAGTTTTTATGGGTTATTATAGCGATTGACAAACTTACGTTACTCGTGCACTTGGCGGCAGTTGACAGCGTAAATCTTCCATTCTTGTGAGCAAACGGTTTTAAATTATATCAGATCGCTGGATAAACACGTCTTGGTTTCTGAAAGCTGATAACATCAAACCACTGTTGCTTAAACTGATTTCTTATAGTATTTTTCCGAGTTTTTAGCATCGGCCCGCTGAGCGAGGAAAGCTCAAATTTCAGAAAAGTACTACTTGTATTTTTTGGCCTCAAAAATTTTCTTTTTAGTTGCCCATAGTTTTGAAAACAGATTTTGGTATAAGACTCTTTAATGAAATCGAGGTACCAGTCAACGATTTTGGGCTTTGAAATTTGCCATTTTTTTATCGAACTAAAATCTTACACTTTCGTTCAAACTGAGTAAATCACCCCTTAAAATGTGTATAATTATATACTTTTCTGAATAAGTTATTTGTTGTTCGCATTACAATTGATTTGATTTTTAAAACGATTGTTTCGTTACACTCCTTCTCGGGCCTGTAAAACCAGGTCCGAGAGCCGCGAAACCAATAACCCTCCCGTACGTCTGAGATAATTATCGGATCGAAGTAAAAATTACATTTATGATAGCAGCTTACTTAGTGCTACTTTGTGAATTTTTTTGAGAATTTTCGATTTTTCACTTTTGTAGGCCTCTGGTTGATATTTGGTGACATCTTCTGTTAAAGAGTTTGTCTTCATCGTCATCTGTCACCGCGCGAGTGGCGTTTGGCGTGTTCCCCTTGCTGGCTTTCTGGACTAAATTTTTTCTCTTGGCTACTAGAACTTTACGAGGCATCGCAAATTCCTTATCAACAAGAATATTGAGTGGAGATTTACCATCAGAAATGAACCTCTGAATGCTTCGTTGTAAACCAGACAGCGTGTCAGGTTCGTACTCGTCGCCATTAATTTTGCGGACATTTTACAACACTTCGTCAACAAGTGGTCAAGGTCACCAGCACGTAAATCCAAAACTTCTACGTTACCCTTGCTTACTGAAGATAAATAACGCTGAAATGTTTCATGTCACTGAAAGTTTTCCTGGTCGTGTTTTCACTTTTTTGCTCTTTTTCGAAACTCTCAATTTCTTCTTGGCCGTTTTCGTAAACTTGTTCGCAACCAGAGAACACTGGGCTTCACTGTTTTCCTTATGAGATTCAAGCTTGTCTGGGTAATAGAACTCGCTATCCGAGTGTTCATCCTCACTCATTGTATTTTGTCGTAAAATTAACTGAAGAAATAAAACAAATGCAGCCTTTGGATGAACTTTGGTTTGTTTTGCTAATTTGCATAATCTGTAATGGCCGGCCCTTGGGCATTACGGGAGAAAAATGCCCTAGCAGCTAGCCAATCAGAGTGCGCGTTTTATCGGCTACAAACACTAGCCATATAATAAGTAATAATAATAACATCAGTGTAGCCTCTAGTGGTAAGCAGGGTGATTTTTCTTTTAATTAGTGATGATGATGCTGCTGCACTAATGTTGATTAATAGAAATACAATTCGTCTATGGTGGTCCAGTTTCTTATTACTTTTTTCAGGATCAGGCATTTAACCTTGCAAACACAACCTCGGAGTACTCGGCCTGAGAGTTTCCATTGCAATCTCTTTGTACCTAACCAATTAATTGTGCATCTGATAACCTAAAACGAATCTGGTAAATAATAAAATATTCCCACGCCTGATGATCAACTCGCCATAATACCAGATTAAAACAAGCAAAGGCTTACTAAGTGCTATCTTCTTCCTCTTGTAGATAAGTGCGGTTGGTATTCTGAGGAAAATTGACCTCCTTCATCAGTATCACAACTGCTACAGGCTGACCAAAGTAGAAAGTTTTTTAAACGATGATGTGATTTTATCAAGAGAGCCGACAGATCGATGGTCGTTTAGCCTTCCCAGCAGCTTGTTTGACATGAAAGAAGGCAAAATGAGGGTGGACATTTTTGTTTCCTTTGAAACAGAAAAGTTTGACCACACTTTTACCCAGTGCCTGCGATTTGATTTTGGGGAGAGGCATTATCTGTTACAAGGTTTGAACGTGGACATAACTAGCAAGGAAGTCTTGGACACAATATCAGTAACGCGAGAAAAACTCAAACCCGATCCCTGGGTGTGGACGGAGGAGCTGGTAAACGTTTTCGTGTCATCAGAAGATGCCACTTACAGTCGTCGGGATAAAAAGTTACAGAAAAAATACAGATTGCCAACGAGTGTAGAGAATGTAGTTTCAGTCCAAGTGATGGAGGGTAACATAAAGTTAGAGAATTACCAAAGAGTGATGCACCAACTCTTATTTACTGAGGAACTTTTCATGAAGAAAGCGATTTCAAGGTAGCTCAGTATTTCGTCTTTTTCTTTTTTCTTCCTTTTTTTTGCTTCGACCAGTGAAATATCTGTCCAAACCACTCGACGTTTGTTGATTCTTGTACGACTAAAATATTGTGTTCAGCTACCCACTTTTGCAGAATGCTGAATAATCTCTTACATTCCCACTTAACTCTCTGACTGACGTCGGATACATTCATGGCTATAAAAAAAGGGGAAACAAACTTAAATCACTTGACAAGGTGGCCATAGTAATTGACAAAACAAAACAAAGCAATGCAATTCAGTACAATACAATACAAGTGAAACGCGCTATGTTCTTGTCAATCAATAAACGACATTCACAATTAGCAAGAGCACATGTACACATAGAGATGGATGTTTACAACTCAGATTTAGCCCTTCCCTTCACTTGGATCAGAGTTTCTGATGCTCCCCTATGAGCCTAAGGCCTCTGCTATATGCTTTCAATACAATTTTTTGGCCTATCGCGAAGAAAAATTGCAGCGACTGCACGATATTGGCTCGATGATAGTTCATATTTTTTTCTCCAAGGTTTCTAGTTCAGAGTTTACCACTACATATTGAGAAACGTTTTGAGCGGGAGCGTTATGGAATGGCTTTTGCTGTAGAAGGGGAATTGTTTGGAATTCTCAATTTTTTGGAAGCCTTTCAACCAGATGATGCTGCGGGTCGACTCCTCGTTAGAAATGTGCAGACAGCTTGGCTTAAGTTATCTGAGACTACTACGAAAGACGTATATGAGGCACTCGTTGAAGAGGTCGCGAGCTGGGGCGTGGTGTTGAGACTGTCCCGGCAGATGTGTTTAGCCCTGCAACTGACCGATCAAGGGATCGTTTTAGTTGACCTCCAGTTTCAGCTAAATCGTCAACCTCTTTGTGAGTGGCATTTTGCTATTGACCGTCTCGGTGCCACCCATTTGAGCTTACTGTTTCCAGAACAAGGTGTATCAGAAGCCAACGAGGTATGGATGGATATGTTTTGTGTGTGTGTGTGTATCTTATTAAGTCTGGTGTTCTTTTATTTCACTTGTATTATCCCGTATAATCTCAGTAACCTTCTTGGTAATTGGTACCGTCGCTATATTGATAATTAGGGAGTTTAAGATACACAACGGCGACGGCCACGAAAACGTGAATTTGCGTTCTTTCAATCTCTATCGCGATTACTCCAACTCATTTACTTTGTCAAATGCAAGCCAACTCTTTTTTAGCCGAATCCCTAAGGAGCATATTCAAGTTCAGAAAGAGATAGAAAATTTAGCCGTCGCTTGTCAACGTCCTCAATAAAACAAGAAATTAGGCATTTTCCTGTCGTAGTCGTGCAGTGACGGCAAAGAAATGTACGAAAAAGTGTGATGCACGTGCAGAGTTCTTGTTTTGCCTATTCAACCTATTGCTTTTTTGACGTTCTCGTTGCCGTCGTGGCATCTTAAAGTCCCTAATGTTAATTTCCAACGTCGCCACCAACCCTCCGCTCTCTTCAGGTCAGTGAACCTTTTCATATTTTAGCGTATGATTCATAGTCTTCAAACGAAGGCCATTCACTGAGTGGGCACGAAATGACATATATAAATAGTTTTTATTCGGAACAGCTGGAGGAATGGCAAATACCCAAAGTGCAGGAGCAAATTATAGAAATTGGAGCAATATGAGATACATAATGTTCATGAATTGATGCTTTGCTGCTTTCAGGAAGCAATTTCAAATTACCTCCCTCTGAATTATGCTGGTGCTAATGATGAGCAAGCAAAGGCCATTAAACGCATTATATGGCCTAGTAACAATTGCTCTCCTCTGGTGGTGTTTGGTCCTTTTGGGACTGGAAAAACTTTTACTTTGCATCATGCAATTCGTCAGCTGGTAGCAATAAGAAACAGGCGCATTTTATTATGTACGCACACGAACAGTGCAGCGGACTTGCACGTCGAATGGCTGCATCGTTACTTGACAGATGAGAACGGACTGAAGGCAGCAAAACCACTTAGGATCTATCAAAAAGCGAGAAGGTGAGCTAGATAAAATTCCCGTCACCCCGCCGGCTATCCTCCTTTGCTTTCTGTGCGGCACAGACTTGAATTTTATTGGTTGAGACAGTAATAGAGACAACTTACTAAATGTTTAAAAGAAAGTATTTAAGACACTGGAAAATATTTCTGTTTTGACTACCAAGGGCAATTCGGTTTGTTTGAAGCTATGTTCCTTTATACTTGGACCACACAGTTTATACTTGGATCATATACCGGAGCGAGAGGTACTCAAGAGGCATCGAGTTCACCTATCTCGCGGTGCCGGTGTTTGGTTGTCGAATCCTGTCGGGGATTCAGATTTTTTTCTTTGTCCCACGCTCGTAACATGTTGATTATTTCATTTTCACATTTGTTTTAGCCAGCTTAAAATTTACCATCTTTCATTTATTTCACCACACAGTGCGACATCGACATGCTGATCCTAGCAGTATGCAGAACGCGTGTCAAATATGAATCTAGTTTATGGCCTCGCTCTCCATGAGTTCTGTGTAGCTCAAGTGGATAGAGCGTCTGCCCTGTGTTTGGGAGGTCATAGGTTTGAATCCTGTGGGGGACTCAGATTTTTTCCTTGTCCCACGCTCATGACATGCTGATTATTTCATTTTCACATTTTCACAAGGAAAAACAAGCTACGAGCTCAAACAAGCGTCTGGGAAAATCTTTGCTACAATAATATTATGTTTTGATCAAATTGAATAGTAAGACCAGCCACCATGAAGGTACTTGACTGTAATTAAATTCTTGGATAGACATTTATAGGAGAAAAAGGAAGGGGTGACTATTAACGTCCTTTCATCATGCTATTCTCTTTCAGATTGGAGGCCAATTCCAAAATTGCTAATCAATATGCCTTGATCGAAAACAACGCCTATGTACTTCCCAAAAGAAAGGACGTTATCGATCATCGCGTGGTTATAGCCACTTTAGCCACCTCCAAACACCTTCACGAGCTGGAGCTATACCATGGCTTTTTCACCCACATCTTCATAGACGAAGCTGCCCAAGCTTTGGAGCCCGAGGCATTAACACCACTGGCCTTGGCAGGACCCAACACGCTCGTTGTTTTGACAGGAGATCATATGCAGGTAAAATGTGAGCCTAAATCAAGGTGGGCTGTAACAATTGTGTTACAGAGAATAATATAACTGGGATTTTTTTTCCAAGGAATATGGACCAAACATAAATCTCTTAATCCGAAATCCGTAGATCACCTAGGTCCAATGTCTCTTAATCTGTCTCACACTGTATCCTATTAAAGCTCTTTTAGTCACCACTTAATTACAACTTGTATCAAACCGAGGTGTCAATGGCATCAAGGTCTAGGCATGATGTGGTACTTTTGTGTTGCCTTGCGGTACTTTTACTGTTGTGTTATGTGTAACCTTAGTGTTTTAGCCACTTCATTGGTGACGGTTTGG